ACTTTAAAAAACCTTTTTTTAGTCCTTTTGTTTTGAAATTTCTGTTATCTAACGTAATATTTACACAAAAAGATAACATAAGGATTGAAAAGAGGCTAGATTTTAAACTTTAGAGATTAAAAAGGTTTTTTTTTTAAGTAAAGGGACTAAAAGGGGCTTTTTGTTAAAGTAAAGGGAGAAAAAAGGGATATTAACCTATTCTAATATAATGGGTTTCGAAATTTAAATATAAATATTTAATTATATTTTTAAATTTCAAATTAATTGTTAATTAAATAAAATGACATGTTTTAAGGTTAAGATTCCAATTTATTTTGAAAATCGAAACTAATATGAACTCTTCCTTTACTTTATTATAAAAATTATTAAAATCTTTAATAAATACATAATAAAAAAATGATAAAACTTTTAAAATCTTCAATAAATATTGAATAAATAGTTAAATACCCCCAACTTACTATGCCCGAATTCATGTACTTAATTTTGGGCCCTCAGTCCAAATTTAACGATAAAATTAAGATTATTAAAATCTTGGGTTGCTTTAGGATTAAAATATCAATTTGGTCCCTCAACTTTTAATTTGTACTAAAATTATTCTTAAACTTCAAAAAGTACAAATACTATCCTTAAACCTCAAAAAATATCAAAATTGTTTTTGAATTTTAATTTTTAGTACCAAAATAATACTTCTATTAATAAAAAGTATTATATAACTTGTTATCCTATTAAAAAATTAGTTCTTTTTTATAATATTAATGATATATAAAATCAAACAATTATATTTTGCCATCATGGCATCAAAGTTGAAGGACTAAATTAGTACTTATAATCAAAGTTTAAGAATTAAATTGGTACTTGTTTTCAGAATTCAAGAACTAAGTTAGTTCTAATGTAAAAATGAAAATATACTATGGTAGTAATATTTAAGTCGAAAGATAAATTATTAAAATTTTGTATAGTATAAATGTAGCATATAAAACTTACATGTAAATAAATATTTTATTATACATATGAGAAAAATATACATTAGTTCCGACTCTTAAAATGAAATTAGAATTTTGAGCATAATGATGTTATTTTATTTAATTAAAATTTAATTTAAAATTTAAAAATCTATCTTATTAAATGTTGATACCTATAATTAAAAATTGATTATATATTTTAATATAGTTTGTTTCTAAATCTATATAT